AGTGGTCAAATCTTCTGATGTCTGCGACGATTGTCAATGACTTGTTGTTCGCGTGGAAAACTGTTTTCTTTTTCATTGATATGATTGTCATCTTGGGTTACAAAGATCCGGTCTTTTATAGATCCGGTTACACCTAAATCAAAGAAAAAAAAATTAAAAATTACAACTTTCCTCTTGTGAACAAATCGCAAGCTCCTGTTTTGCGGTCGCTTGCTTGTGTGGGTTCTTTGCCAACGCCGGGGTTAATCCGTGGACCACCGCGCGATCTAGATCCGGTCGGATCTACACGATTATGCGGGTATTATTCCACGAAGGGAATAATAGCCGGGAGGGATTAATCCACCAAGGGAATAATCGCTCAGATCTCGAGATCTAAGACCAAGCTTAGATCTGGAGTGTAGCCTCGTGTAGATCTCAGATCTGTTCTTTCTTCCTCTCGAAATCCTGCCTTTTCTGACGTGGATGCTCGCCGAGGATCAGATCCGAATGTGCAAGTCTTCAGGTCTTCAAAGCTCCGAGTTCACTCTTCAATCCGGCAGAGTTTCGGCTCTTGAAAGTTCGACCTCCGAAAATGAACATCTCTAGGCCTATTTATAGGCTCTCAGGACAGTGGCTGCAAAAAGGGAAATGTCGGCCACCTCTGGCTACTGTCGGCCACCTCGGGCCACTGTCGGCCACCTCGGGGTGGCCGACACTGTGCCTAGCCACCTTGGGGTGGCTCGGCTCATGGCCGAGCCCGCGGGCGGTGTTTTCCGACTTTTTCGAGTCGTTTTCCGTTGTTTCCGGTTCTGTCCGTGATTCGGTTGATTGAGACTCTGATTGGTTGATCTGATTTGGCAGTAAGTTGGATTCCTGATTTGGCAGTAAATCCGCTTCTGAGTTCGAGTCCGAAATTGATCTTGATTCGATCGTGATTCCTCCGAGTCCGCTCTCGGTTGGATGACTCGTTGATTCCTCAACTCATTAGCTTGATTCTGCACGCGGGTGGATGCATTCCGTCGCTTCTGTACGATTCGTCGATCTCGTCGCCTCGTTGGTTCGTCGGTTTGTGCCGAGCTATGCTAGGGGACTCGTTGGTTCGTCGGTTTGTGCCGAGCTATGCTAGGGGACCTATAAGCAATTTTATATGCCTACACTTGTAGGATCGGTTTGCTCATCTAGACTTGGCGCAACATAGGAAGGAGGTTGTCAACGAGTGACACCATGGCCCTCAAGGAAAAATTGAGGTAGTCTTGGCTTCCAAGGTCGGCATCGACTATCTCGCTTTGCTACTCCCCTCTAGATCTCTTCCCTTCCTCGATCGATGTTATCCCCCTTGTGTTTTTTGATGTCTAGGGGCTTGTATTTGTACTTCAAACTTTGTTTTTTTTGTCGATATTCGTGTTTGTAACTAGACATGGATATTGTAAAAAAGTTTTGTAATTCATTTTGTTGGAATAAAGATTGATTCTGCTCGTCTTGGAGTCTGCCCTCTTTTATTCCTTGTTTTTATTTGCTAGATTTTAGTTTTGTTCTGACTTAGAACTAACTGTGGCGGATTGGGAGTTGGTCGTGTTGTGTTGACCCAGTTGTTAGGGGGTCAAGACGACTAGCTTGTAATGCGCCTTGTGCAGGCTAAGTGCTCGAGTCTTGGCCAATGAAGACTGACAAGTCAAAGTGACCAAGTCTTTTTTAGTCGAAGATCATCGAACAATTAGACTTTGCGCCTTTGGTTTATTTTAGATGATACCAAGGATTTTTGGTGGCATGACAACCTTGAGGTTGGGCACCCAGGACTTACGCAAATGTCTAGGTCTTCAATATGGTCACGATGGTCGAAAGGTAATTGTAGGAGTCGACCATATGGTTAGTGCCTTGAGTTTATTTCTGAAAAGGCACCAAGGAGTTAATATCCAACCAAAGTTGAATGCCTAGAACTTACTGAAGTTGACTAGGTCTTTTACAACCATGAGGTTGTGCCTAGGATTTGCTAAAGTCGACTAGGCCTTTCGCCCTTCAGAGGGTCGTCCTAATGGTAATTAGGTAAAATAAAAACTTTAAGGTTGGGTGCCCAGGTCTTATGGTAATTGTGGGAATCGACCATATGGTTAGTTCCTTGGGTTTATTCCTAAAATGGTACCAAGGGCTTAATATCTAACCAAAGTTGAATGCCTAGAACTTACTGAAGTTGACTAGGTCTTTTACAATCCTAAGGTAGTACCTAGGACTGGTTGAAGTTGACTAGGTCTTTTGCCTTACAGTGGGCCACCCTGATGGCAATTAGGTAGAATGATAACCCTGAGGTTAGGTGTGCAAATCTTACTTGGACGTCTGGGTCTTTGAGATAACCATAGTGGTTGAAAGATGACTATATGAGTCGACCACCTGGTGAATGCCTTGGGTTTATTCCTAAAAAGGCACCAAGGACTTTTACTTCTTGCATTAGATTGAGCACTACAGGAGTGCGAGACAACAATTTAGTTAGTTTCAATAAGAACTTTTACCTCTTGCATTAGATTGAGCACTACAGGAGTACGAGACAACAATTGAGTTAGTTTCAATAAGAATTTTATTAATAAAACTAAAATTTAAAAAGATACTAAAAATAGCATGACTGTGTTATTGAAAATAACACCACAGGCGCTCGGTACTCTAAGGATGTGGAGGGACTCTCCTGTCTGGGGCCCTTAGTCAACAAGTGCTAGATTGCGGCTCTTCTAGGACTATATAGGGGCCTTCCTAGTTAGGAGCTAGCTTACCTCATTAAGTGTCTGTCAAAAATGGCTTTGTAGAGGACAAGGTCATCGGCATTGAATCTCCTTGGTCGGATTTTGCTATTGTAGTAGCAGGCGATTCGCTAGTGATTGGTGACTTGGGTCCGGAGTGCTTTCTCTTAGATCTCATCAAGGAGGCCGAGACCGATACGAAGCCCTTCTGAGTTCATATCCTCGTGAAAGTGTTATAGTCGAATGGTCGACATGCGTACTTCAATGGGAGTAACTACCTTGGTTCCATATGCTAGGTTGAATGGTGTCTCCCCGGTTGAGTTCTTGTGGGTAGTGGTGTATGGCCAGAAGATACTAGGTAACTTTGGTGATAGAATTCTTTCTGAGAAAGATATTCAAGAAGCCGAAGTTGTTCTCTCTAAAAAGATAACCAAAGAAGATCTCTCTAAAAACATGACATGATGCTCATCATTTGAGAGGCTTTTGAAGGTAATGGTAGCTCGTCCATCTTATAGATGGCTAGCTGATAGATATTCCTAAAATGGTTGCTAAAGCTATAGAGGGATGCGATTATGTCGATTCCTCTCAGCCAAAACCATTTTCTGCTTAGCTTGAGTGACACAACTTCGGGCTCCAATTAGCTTGGATGACATAACTTCGGGGTCAAGTTACAGGATGAGACTGACTAGGTCCTTGTTTAGAACCTAACATATCTTCTCAAAAAAGAGAGGATGCCCTATGGTGGGTGCCAAACTACTGATGTACTAGTGATCACACAGCCAATATGTATTAAGGGTGGGATAATTTCGATGAGGTAGAGAAGATTGATGAGGGGACCGCATTCTTCTTTGACTTTATGTTTGGTTCTTGAATAGGAGAGCTGAGAAATCTACACATGTAGAAACTCATGCAAGGACGGGGATTGGTTCCCTCGTTGTACCTCCAACGATCAAGTTAGATGATAAACTTGAGTGGAAGAAGAAGCAAAACTTAGAGTTCTCCCTCTGTTTTTTATTTTGGAATAGCCTCCCCTTATTTAAAAGATGAATAGTACCTGTATATATATATATTGTGGGAGAAGGGTAGATTGGACACTTTGGCTGAGTACGGAAAGGTGATGGCGAGATTTAGGTTGGTAGCTACGTCAGCATACACTTTACGAGTATCGGCTGGTGACTAGAGGGAGGATCTCTTCAGCATTAAATGAAATGAGAGAGGGAGTATGGGCTAGTGGCTATGTCACATCCACTTTATGGGTGTTGGTAGGTGGTTGGGGGAAAGATCACTTCAGCATTGGAGAGATCATCTCAGCATCGAATGGATAGTGATCAGCGACATGGCAAAGACCATGTGATATGAAAAGTCATGAAGGCTATCGGGGCTAGGTACATAATGGGACCTATCCAATATTGACCGGGGTGCTGACACATGGCCAGAGGGAGAAGCCCGAGGCAGATATTATTCACCATCTTGACCGAGAAGTAACACCCATCGAGTCGTCATTGTAAGGTATTGAATAAAAGCTTAAGTTGACTCTAGGAGAGTCAACTTCGACAAGAGGGTCAAGTGATCCTGCCTCTTGAGTAGTCATGAAGAGTATTGACTTAACGAGTCGGGCAAGTTAGAACCTCCACTGGGCTTGGTCCACCAAGATGGTTGGGACTTTACTTGTAGAAATACACCCGCCCGTTTTTTGGCGAGGAGTTGTATTTTGGCGAATGGGAATACCATAATAGTAAGGTATCAAAATTAATAAGTTTTCATCAAGTAGATCTAGTTTCTTGCCTTAGGTGATGATTTTGGCACCAAATCATCATGAGGATACACTACCTTTGCCATGTCATTATCATATGCAACATCAGGACTTAAAGTGTAAAGAGAAGATCATGCGTTCACGTGATGGTTTGGTGCCAAAATCATAACAGCGAGCAAGCAATTGCACCTAATTGATGAAAACTGATCGCCGCTAATACCTCATCATAGCCATAGCAAGTAAATCACCTCGCTATCCAATATGTTGTACTAAATATACCAATCTAGTTATTTAGTCCAAATGGAAATGGCTGAGACCCTGGTTTCATCCTTTGCCCCAAACAAAATCCGTCAGCAATCAAATAACAATATTCCATCATCAAACAACTAATAGAACATAAACTAAAGACGCTGAATAGAATTCAGACTATAATCTATAGATTGGATTAAGAATCTATACGAGCAACTAAAATTATAGAGGCAACATCTACAAGAAGTGATCAATGCACATACTCGAAATGGGAGTACTACAGAATGTCGTACCTCTACTAACATGGAAATAACTGCATCAAAGCTTGTTCCTTTTGTGAGGGCACGAGTAGTGGCCGCCTGCAAAATAGACAAGTATATAGCCAATCTACATTACTGAAAGAAAAAAAATCAATACTGAGCAAGCAATAGGGTAGAACCTGGATAACAGGTCCATCTATCCAAGGATCGGAATATGGTATGCCTAATTCAATTATATCGGAACCGCAGGAGTCAAGAACATATAATGCTTCTGAGGTTGTTGAGAGATCAGGATCACCCGCAGTGATGTAAGGTATGAGGGCAACCTACAAAATAAGTAATAGGGATATCAGAGGTTAGCTTAACCGGTGACTGGCATACATCCTTTTGAGATTCGAACAATACCTTCTCTAACATGTTTTGAGAAAAGTCATAATTAGTGTTAACATGAATAATCTTCATTCAAAATTTTCATCACAAATTAGATTTTCTAACAATTCAGGGGGATTCAGTAGGAATTGGAAGTCTAGGGATTTTCTCTGATTTATGCAATTTGGGGGGTTTGCGCGAAACACCTTAACTAAAGTTCAGGTCTTCAAGGGGGGTTCATGCAAAACACCTTAAAATTCAGAGAGTTCTGTGAAATTTACCCGATAAACAAAGCAAGCCAACTCTTCATATACCTTACAAAATTTGAATAATCTTTATTACTCATATACAACATAAACAATAGATCAAATATATCTAGAAAGAGTATCAATTGACCAACAAATTAAACCCAAACAAAACATGAAAAGCAAAAGGAACACAATTTCATTTTAAGAAGTAAAAAAGCAATGCTTACCTTTCCCTGCTCCTTCAACTTAGAGAAAGTCTGAGATATCCCAAGAGAAGCCACTGGGAAGAGAGATTTCGATCGAGAGATGGGTCTAAAAGAGGGCTGAGGGAGAGAGAAACCATGATATTTTCTTGAAGAGAGAAGAACAGAGGAGGGCTTGGTCATAGAGAGGGCTATTGCAAAATTCATAATTTTCCAAAATCCCTCAACTTTTTGGGTGATGTATTTGCTTTGGCTTTTTAAATGGGTTTTAGGAGGGGAAATGTACTTTTGAGGAAACAAGAAGGGTGTATGGAATTAATCAAGTATACATGACATGTGGTCATGTACCAGGAGCTATCAAAAACAACAAATATGTTTTTGGCATGATAATTCGAAGGAATGAGATTGAAATATAATATTGTAACCTATATAGGCTTCCTTCTATCCCCTTCACATGTTGGTGCACGCATCTCAAATGGTAATTGAGGAAAGGTGCATTTCTAATGTCTCTTTTGTTGAATAGTCTTGAGGGTCTCAAACAGACGATTGAAACATTTTTTGTTAGAACCACGATAATCCTTAAAATAAGATGTTTCCGTGGGATAATTAAGAATAAATATTTTTTTTGACTAAAATGACATGGGGATAATTTCGATGATCAAAGTGATCCACATTTTTTTCCCTTTCTTCCACTAATTTTTTTTTCTCGCCCTTTAATTTTAGTTATTTTTAATAATTTTTTTATTTTTACCTTAAATTAAGTACCTAACTATAGTATCTGTAAAAAGAAAGTGACATATTTCGATAGGACGAGGAGGAGAAGTGACACATCTATGTTAGGGAATTGACGCACGTGAAACTGCCAATGTTGTTAGGGCCAATAAGTCCTGGCGTAGTAGCTAAGCCTTCACCATCAATTAACCCCACAAGCCCACGAGGGTCCTGGGGCCGAATGCTGGCTCCGCTCGGTTGAGAAAGACTTAAGGATTGTCCTATGCATGCATAATTTGTTGATCAAAAAGCACAGCGTGCTCATTTCCACTGATTTCAGCACTGGTAGCCAAATGGGACTTCCCTTTGTCATTTCATAGATTCAAAGTGTTTGGACGTAAATCACATGGGAGGTATATGTGCCTGTGTGAAAAAGTATGGCTGCCTGCTTGAACATATCCTAGGTACACGTGCCTGGGGGTGTGCTCACATTTTTTTCCCCATTTGTTGGCATCCAACATTTTCACCCTCTGTTCATTTTGTTGTATCCAAGACGAGTGTTTTATAGTGAAGGGTGATTCATTGTTAAATATTGTGACAAATTTAATTATGACGAACATGTTTGTCGAGCGAGAAATAGCAACAGATAAGAGCTTCAAATTCTACACGGTAACTCCAGTGTTTTCTATGCTATTACTTCAAACAAATACCAGATTTCAAGGGCTTGTGAATCCTGCAGAATTTGTGATACGTGGGTGTCACTGTTCGTAACTCTTCGGCTACATCTATAAGTCGTTGTAGATGTTGCTTGTCCATGTTGGAATTCTGAGTTTTCACTAAAATAGAGAAGGGAAAGTACAAATAGAGATTACAAAATCGCTCAAATCTCTCAAACAAATCTCTCTCTCTAATCTCTCAAACAAAACCCTAAACTAATAGCCCCGAAAGAAACTATCTTTTCTGTGCTCAAAACAACCCTTTCAACTGCTTCACAGAAACCCTAAAATGTGTTTGTATTTATACCAAACACTAATCCCAAACAGAGCAGGAAAACCAAATCTGAGCTTGACCCGACTGGAGTTCGACTGTAAAAATCGTCGCGGTCGACTGACCAGAAAGACAGAAACCCAATATCGATTATAGGGTTTGGCGGTCGACCGCGACAGGCGACCGTCCCCTGGTCCAGAAAACTACCTGAGGCTGTGCACATTTTCGGTCGACCGCCCTAAAGCTCGTGGTCGACCGACAAGCACCCAAAGCTCTGCCTGCTCTAAAAATCCTGTTCTTCTCCAACGTTTTTGCCGATTCTACAATTCTCCACCTCGGTGAAGTTTTCTCAAAACTGAGCTGACACAAATACCAACCAAACGTTTCACTTGTTGCGTCCAGTACAAAGTAAAAACAATCCACGACAACTGACTCAATCTACAACGAGAATGCGAACAAACTCCAAATATTGGTATCAACTCACAAAGCTGGCTGCATCAAAATGATTGCCTACGTATCCTCTTGCCCAAGGAATCAAGGCTCACGTAGTTCACCAAATGGCCTCCAAAGGCCCTCAATCAACTAGAATGATTTTTAAATCTTCACGATCATCACCAACAAATCTGCAGCTGATATCTCTCCCAATGGCCTCAAAGTAAAAAGATAAATTCTCTTCCAAACATGCATCTCCCTACACCAAATCTATCTTGGAGCTCAACACCTCAACCCTATATGTAGAAGGAACATAATTGCCAAACACCTCAAACTGAGGTTAACCAACGGACATAGCCAAATTTGAACTGTGTCCATCAGTTGCACTCGAATTAACAAACTCGTTATCTGCATCAACACCAACATGATCCACAATCTGTGTCACCTCAGCTAGAATCCTAAATAATACAGAATGATCCATATTATATGGAGTAATCTCCTCCCAACGTAGAGTAGCATCACTCCATCCGCTGCGATATCCTAATGATCTGCCCAACACTCTCCACCTGCTGAGAGTTAAATGTGACAATACTGCTCAGACCAATATCAGAATCCCATAACCGATAACCAAACATGCCTCTGAATCCTAAATGTGCACTCGGATCAAATCACGTCCTCGATGTGACAATATATTGAGCATCCAAATATCCGAAGCAACCCAAAATCTGAAGCAGCTCTACCAGATCTAAAAACTCTAATCACGACAGACGACAAACTATAAATAAGATGGCTCTAATATGTCAAAACCTCAACACCAAAACTCCTCTGCAAACTACTGCGTGGCATCAAATACTGATCCTTCTCCAGCAAGGAACAACCTGTCAAATTTGACATCTCATCTCGTTGTCCCAATTCAATGAAGTGTCTCAAACTGCCTTGAGCTAGGCACAAATGCAGAAAAGGATCCCTCTTATACTTCCTATCAAAATTAGAACTAAGTAAATTTTACCTTTCTGCATGTACACTTCTTTCACCTATTGTTGACTACTAGGACTACACTCTAATAGGACTTGGTTTTAACCCACAAATGCCTAGAATAGTCTCCAACACAGGAAACCAAATACCTATTATTTCCCAATGATGCCTCATTGAAAAGCCCCCAAATGCTTACATGAACATCATCTAGAAGGCCCTTCGCAAGGTGAATAGATATGCCAAACTTCACATTGGTCTTCTTTCTCACACCAATATGTTCACAGGACTTCAAATTGCAGGTCAAAGCACCACTCTCCAATCCATGCACGGAATCAACACTCGAATGTCCCAGCCTCCTCAAATGCCACAGTCTAGCGGAATCAATAGAAGCGCTCCATCTATCACCGTGCTCCTAATTAAATAGTACAAATTATTCTTTCTGACGTCCTTTATTACAATTATGGACCTCATTGTGACCTTCAAAGATTCATCCTCTAAGATCACCTTATAGCCTGATGCCTCCAAAACTTTAAGTAAAATGATGTTCTTCGACAACTGTGGAATGAACATCACTTCCTTCAACTCCCTAGTCACCCTGTAATACATTCTGATTCGAACCGTTCCAATACCACTAATAGGAAATTCATGATCATTACCCATGAGTATGACATCCAATCTTTCCAACTCCTCAAAGCTGGAGAACCAATCCCTCTTAGGGTAAATATGTCATGAAGCACCTGAATCCAACATCCACTCTGTAGAGTCGGCAATACAAACTGACGATAGTGTAGGGCACGAGTAGCATGAAGAATTCGAATCTGAATTGTCGCTACTAACTTTAGCAACATTCACCTTTGAAGCTTGTATAGCTTTTTCCTTATTCTTCCCAGCTCAATCTTTTAACTTTGGGAATTCAAACTTCTAATGTCCATCTTCTGTAGGATCTGAAATAGATACACTTGAACACTAGAGGGTGGGTGAATAGTATTCTTTTAAAATTTATGTAAAGTATATTATAAATTGCAAAGAAAAATGGCAATCTCAAAAATTCACAATCACAAACACAAGGATTTATACTGGTTCCACCACTACGGTGTACATTCAGTCCCTAAGCAAATCCCGCTTGAGAGTTTCCACTATGATTTTGAATAAACTTAAAAAATCAAACGTAAACCTGACCAATTTGCAAGTCCTTGTAAATTGCAATACCAATTGACAAACACCTTGCCAATTTGAACACCAATCTCTAAACCAAGAGATTTACTCCTCTCACAACTTGAGATCACTTTTGAAACAACAATTTCAATTCCTATAAACCTTGATTTGTAGTGTAGTGTAGTAGTGGCTTAGGAATGATTTTAACCTCTGTAAATTGCCTAAATAATAAATATTTGAATAATGTTCAGAGGCAATTTCAAAAACTTTTCTTTTTCTCAAAATCTGAATATTTTTCACTTGAAAAAATACACAAAGATCAAAGCTTATGGGTATGTAAGTCACTACATTTTTTCTGAACAAATAACCTATTTATAGCCCTTGAAAAGATAATTTTTTGAACTTTAAAAACGTTTAAAAACGGCTATAAACAGTCACAAATTCAAACTTTGGAATCTGGAAAAACTGTATCTGTAGTCGACTACAATACATATTAGTCGACTACACTGAGTTCAAACAGACTCTGTGTATTCAGAAAATTTCTCAGTAGTCGACTACAATGCTCATTAGTCGACTACACTGTATTTTGACAGAAATTGATAAAATAAAATTTGCCTTCAGTAGTCGACTATAATGTAGATTAGTCGACTACACTGTAAAATAACAGAAACTTATGTTTCTGTCAAACACCTGAGTAGTCGGCTACAATCTACATTAGTCAACTATACTGTAAAATAACAGAAACATATATTTAAGTTTTATACACGAGTAGTCGACTACTATTCTAATTAGCTTACTACTAAGAGTAAAAATTATAAAATAAAATATTTTTATACTTAAGTTTTAACTATAATTCTAATGGTTAACATAGGGGATTTCTATAGTTAACCAACACACTAAGTCTGTGTTAGTGTGTTCTAAAATTGTGTGTGTTCGTGTGTGTGATCAAGGCTTGTAAAATAATTCTAAGTAAAGAAAATATAAAATACATTATCTCATATGTTCTTCATCTTCTTCACTTCATAATGCCTTGAAATCAACTTGCACTTGTTCATATTTTGATATTGACGTCTGCATATAAAAGTTAGTGCATTTGTATAACACACATTGTATAA